TGTCCCGCCCGCCACCCAGCCTCCAGGGTCCAGTTTGCGATCCAGTGCTTTCCAAATTCCGGGGCCATGTCAATCCAATCTCCGTGAAGACTTTCCGACTTCACTCCTCCAGCACCCGATATCGCTGGCATACTCGGCATCTGCGCCGGAGAAAGACACGGTTTCACTTGCCATTCTACTTGACGAGTTGCTATCATTGCAACTATCAGTAGCCGAGCTGCCATACGCCATCGGTAGCCGAGTCCGCCGTGCGACGTCCCCGCATCGCTTCTCACGAGCACGCGATCTGTCCTCCGCAGCTTCGCGATTTTCAACATCCTCTCTCTAAAGACATTGTAGCGCATTGTGCAAGATGTCTCAACCCGCAGCAGCAGCCGGCGCTCGCCCTGCTGGCCAGCAGCAGGAGCAAGGCGTGAGTCTCTTACCTACGCCCACCGCGAATCGCGCCAAGAGGCCTTGAACTAATGTACCATGATCGCAGGGCATAAGCTTGACGCAAAAGCTGCTACTTGGAGCTTCTATGTACTTCGGCATGAACTTGCTCATGAACAACATGTTCTCCAAGACGCAATCCGGTACCCAGGTCAAAGATGCCGACGGCAATGTTGTCAACGTACCCGCGAATACCGAAGACATTCCGCCCTACCTGCTCCGCCCCAAGGAATTGGACGAGGGTGCGACCTGGAGCCAGATCCCGCGCAAGTTGGCACCTATATGGCCAATGGATAGCTACATCGACGTGACCGTCACTATTTCCGACACCTTTGTTCCGATTCCTCTGGCCCAAACGCCCTCGGAAAAGGTTGTTCTTAAGGAGGAGAAATTCAAGATTGGCAACTACAGCGAAAAACGCTCCATTGATACCACTATCGAGGTGCCGCCCTCTGTGCAGAACAATGGTACTCTTTGGGGCCACTTTTACGTTTCACTGCCCGGTAGCCAGCCCGATCCTCACGTTGAGAACTACGACCCAGCCTCTGCGTACTACTTTGCGTTCCCTCTCACTCAGTACATCCCCAAGAAGAAAGAGTTCAAGACCAGATCCCTTCTCGAGGGCAAGGCCGAGGAGGAGGTGGAAGAGGTGGCCGAGGAACAGGAGACTGGGCCCGTCATTGCCAGTTACTACCACCCGAATGCCAGCTTCTCCATCATTCCCAACACTGGAGTGCTCGATTACCGCCAAACCCATCCCGCAATTCGCCAGTTCCTCCATGTCGAGCCGACTGGTGCCAGAGATGGCTCCGGCCAGCATTCCTGGTATTGTAAGTTGCCCTTTGCGCTATTCTTGACGAACAGAACTAACTGCCATAGACCCTATTCTGTTTGTCAATACCTTTTGGCAACTCAAGAGTCAAATGATCCTGCTCAATGACACCGTCACGTCCGTTCCTCTGCACATTGATTTGAACAACATGCGCTCATGGCAATTCAACACTCTGGCCGCGATTGAGGCTAGTGCGAAGGAGTCGGCACGCCAGGCTGCTTACGGTGGATCGCTGCCCGGTGGCGGCGACGGCTCTGAGATTGAGATGGTCAAGGAGATCTTTGGCGACACGAACCCGATTCTCCTCGGCATTACCATTATTGTCAGTATTGCGCACATGATCCTAGAGACGCTTGCTTTCGGTTCCGACATTGCGCATTACCGCAAGAAGAAGGATAACGTCGGTATCTCGGTCCGTTCCATCCTAGCGAACGTTTTCATGCAGTCCGTGATCCTGCTTTACCTCATCGACAACTCGCAAAATACCAGCTGGATGATTCTGGGTGGTCAGGGTATCGGCATCGTTATTGAGCTGTGGAAGATCACCACCATTGTCAACGTTGCCGTCAAGGCTGCGCCAGCAGGCTCATTGCTGCCGTTTAAGATCGTTGTCGAGGACAAGCACAAGCTCAGCGAGACGGAGGAAAAGACCAAAGAGTACGACGAGATTGCCTTCAAGTATATGTACATGGCTGGTGTGCCTCTGCTCATCGGTTACGCCATCTACTCGCTGGTCTACGAGACGCACAAGTCTTGGTACTCGTACATCATCGCCACGCTCGTCGGATCGGTGTATGCTTACGGCTTCCTCATGATGGTTCCTTCGCTTTACATCAACTACCGACTCAAGAGTGTTGCACATATGCCTGGCAAGGCCATGATCTACAAGTTCCTCAACACCTTTATCGACGACCTTTTTGCATTCACCATCAAGATGCCGTTCCTCCACCGTCTGTCCACTTTCCGCGACGATATCATCTTCTTCATCTACCTCTATCAGCGCTGGGCTTACAGAATCGACTACTCTCGCGTCAACGAGTTCGGCCAGGGTGGTGAGGATGAAGAGGACGATGCGGCTAAGGCCAAGGCCAAGGAGCTGCTTGAGACCGACCCCACTCTCGAGAAGGTAAAGCAAGTGGCGGGTAAGGCCACGGGTGCCGACACCGGCAAGGCCAAGAAGAGAAAGTAAATAGTTGATGTTATACGGCTGAGGAAGAGAGTGCAGCCAATATCGTGTACATCATGGAGTCGGGCACAAGTAATACACATGAACCTTGGCAGCTACGTGTCCAGGGTACTGCCTAATGACTAGCATGGATGGGACATAGCTAGTCGAGACATGAGGCTACAAATGTGATCAAGTCCAGTCTTCATCGCAATTCACATCTCTCGCGCATGGTGCATCTCATCTGCAAAAGCACATCAAACTACCGCATGCACGCTTGGACAGAGGACGAGACGACTAAGAAAGTGTTGAGGAAAAGCAACAAGCAACTGTTCAGCTGAAAAGGGGGCTCCGCATGTCTGTGTACAAGGGAGACCGGACAAGCCAAGTCAAGTGAAAATCTGGGCAGAAGATCCAACAGACATCCGTATTCTATACGTATAATTACTACCTCAACACGCTTGCAATATCCCACCGGACAGATGGTTGATTTGCCTTTTGTAAGGTTCACGGCCCACGGGTAGAAGAATGGCCCCCCCTTTGCGGCACGGAAACTCTTCTGAGGGTCGCTTCGCGGCTAAAGATGCCGCTGAGAGACGTGACAGACTACTTGGTAAGGTAAGAGTGCCCCCCCGAACCGAACAGGGGCCCCGGCAGAAGAGTCGCTTGGCGGGGGGTTCGCAGCTGTCGGAGCCCCGTGCCTGGTAGGGCAGAGACAAGCTCGTATGTCACCGCGCCTATCAGAGAGTTCCATTGGGGAACCTGGAAGGGCCCGAAGAGGGATGACGCCAGGTCCCCTTCCAACGGCTGTGTTTTGGGGCTAGGACGATGCCAGCTCCACGTTCTGCTTTGCTCCTGTTCTTCGATTGAGGTGCCTCACCTTACCTTATACACTAGGCTATTCATACCTCAAGGTAAGGTGCTGGTATTCGTAGACGGTAATTAAGCATGTTACCTTAAGGTAAGGTCAGCACGTAATAAGGTAGGGTACGGAGCACCTAGGCATCCGTTGCTCATCCCCTACCACCTAGTACCCGAGTTATGGACCATGTGGCATGGAGACCTTTTAGTGTCGGTCTTTCGTCAAAAGGTGGAGAATTGCGGGATCTGTATACCGAAAATAGTTCAGAATGATTGCCGTCGTTCCTGAGCTGCATAGCAAATAGCTCTTGGCCTCTCCTGAACTCGGTTGGTCGGATCGTGTCCACGCAATGCAGTGTTTGAATGGAATGGCTTCGAGGTGAAGGCAGCATGTGTATTTCGTAAGATGAACGTGAGGTGGTTCTGCAGGTTTCATGGAAGGCGACGGGATTTGGGAAGCAAACAAGAAGGGCACTCCCCGTCTCCCCTTGGACCCTCTCCGGTTGGGGCCTTGCAAATGTCATCGACAATACGAAGAGTTAAAAGTTGCCCAAAGCAGTCATGGCTGACCAGGTCATCCACTCTCAGAGGCACCCTCAAAACCTAAAGTTCCCTCGACCTTCCTCCGTCTTTGACAGCCGCATAATACTTGTCTTTTAGAAGTTAGGAAGATTGGATCCAGTCCGTTCCTTCCTTCGCCCAGCCAGCGCAGTCAACTAAACACACACACCGGGACCAACCAACCAAGGGAAAATAAACGACCGAACGCAATCTTTCTCAAACTCTCCAGTCTCTTTTCTTTCGCTCTGATTTCCGTGTCCTTTTGTCTCGTATCTTTTCTTTTCCCTAAACTTTCTTTCCACATTCCTACCTGCACTACACTTTCCATCCTTTCACCACGTTGTCCCTCGACGTTTTCCTCGTTGCCGTCTCGTGGGTTCCTCCTCTACCTATTCAACCTCCATTTGAGCCTCTCGGTCCCTCCGTTTGTCACATGCCCGGGTTCCCCCGTCCATCACTCCAAGTTCGTCCCATGCGTCCGCTCCGGTCATGACATACGGACGGCCGCATAGAGTCCCCCAGCAACAACCACTTCGAGAAATTTACTTTGAAGCCCGCCCCTAGCACGCTTCGAAGAGCACAAGCACAGGCACACAGGCACACAAGCCACACCCAAAAGTTCGCCGGACTACAGCGAACGCACCCGCCAAGCAGAGCTCCGGACCTTCGGTTCGGTCGACGGGGATTCGAGGTCCACGCTGCCTCGTACGCAGTGGACAGTGGAGTTCCACAACGCGTACCTGACGTCTCTCATCATCCCAAATAGGGTCGTCCCCGGCACCCCGTTCGCTCCAAGGGGAGGGAGCCAAGGCCTACTCTACGGGAAACGTAAGCTACAAAACCTGTTCGGACGGTGTGGCCGTGCCGCCCGCGTGCCCGCGCCCGCCGTCCGCCATTCACTTCGCTCCAGCTCCAGCTCCAGCTCCAGTCCCCTGATCCCCCAGTCGGGATATTTTACCCCCCAAAGGGCCCAAAGGGGGCGCTCCTACGCCCATTTATCATTGGGGCGCGCGCCGCACCGCACCGCCAAAATCCGACTACCCCTCGATCCCATTGTTGTGTCGCCGCCGCCAAGCAACACTCTCCTGATCCCCCCAACGATTCCCTCGAAAAGGACACTTTCGAGGGAACCGGAGGGCTCGCCGAATCATGAGCAGCCCTACCGTCGGGTCCCTTCTGGCTGCCATTGCGACACTCGTCAGCGATGGCCTGCGTATCTTGAAGTTCGCCGATAAGCGCCAATGGGGACCTGACGAGCACGAGCAATTGCGCCTGCTGGAGGATACTCTCGACGACGCCAAGAAGGACTTTCAGGAGCTATCCGTCCTTGTCAACGGACAGCGCTATTATATGAACGACCGCAAACGTGAGTTCACGAGCACACTTACACCGTTCTTGATTACTTTGCGCTGGCTTGGGAGATTGGTCGAGACTTTCCAGAGCCCTGCCGTACAGCGGAGGGAGGGAGGCCTCTGCGATTACCAGCCAGCTCCCCATCAAATCTCGCTTCGTGCTAGCTCACGTCACGCACAGCTGGTTATATATGAACCCTCGCTAACTATTTCGCCTTCAAGCTCCGTCAATAGCCGAGTTGCGAGCTTTACAGTCCAAGGTTGAGCATCATATCGACAACTTTAAAGATTGGGCGAGAACAGGCGGACCGATCAATCCGGTATGGGCACGAGAAACGACGCAACTGCGCCGCGAACTGCATCGCGCACAATGCCGAGCGGCTAGGAGGATATTCGGGGCAGAGCAAGAGGCCTCGGCAAGATGCCTGGGCGCCTTTCTCGTCTACAGAAAACAGCGGGAATGGCAGAGTCGGCCAGCTACTTCGGAGGAGGAGCACCACCGACGACACGTGGAAGAGGTAGTAGCATGCAACACGAGTGGCAAGTTCGAGCGGTTTGGCGACGGAGGCATCGCATTCGTTTGCGACTTTTGCGACGGCCATCTTGTATGGGAGGACTTGGAGAGCATGCCATCATTACGGACAGCCGAAGAATCCAGCACGCGCCCAGTACCGCCTATTTCGCCCATGACCGGGATGCCAAATTGGCAGGCGACCGGGTTCACCGCCGATAAACGAAGAGAGGAGAAGACGGTCATATTTGCGCCTCTAGCAATAGCGAATCATATGGCGCCGTATCAGGGAGACTGGGTAGCTCGACTCCTATGTCCTTTCTGCGATGAGGCGCCATATACCGAGGCAGGCGGTGATAGCGACGATGAAATGCGGAATGCCCAGGACGAATCCGGTTTCGAAGATCTCCAGGCCTTCCAGGAGCACCTGGAGTGGCAACACACAGCTGCATCGATACCCGCCGTCCCCTTGCCCAAGGCAGCCAAGGACTGCGTGGTGATGTGAAATCATTAATTCGACAACGATGTTTGTTGGTGGCGTAAAAACGGCGGTTCGTTCGTTCGTGTACATATATTCACATTGTGTGGTCTTGACAATGGCGAGGCGTTGGGGGCTTCCAAAGAGGGCGGACGATGTCTCATCCGCACCTACGACTTATGGAATTATTATTTACTTTACTCGATGTCAGAAGGCTTTCCACCTCCTCAAGTGTTGGGGATGGTCCTCACCACCGGTCTGGACAGACCAATGCAGCAACAGAGATACCACAGTCAGGTAGTGCTGGATCACAATCCACATTCAAGACGCAAAAACCAATTCTTGTTTCGTTGCCCCTCTCCGTCTTCCCCTGCATCCGCCTGAGAAGTCCGTGCCGTAGTTTGATTGATGTACATGAATCAAGAAAGATATACACAGTCGCCAACATAACGCCCAACATCGTCAAGGAACCTTTGCCATTCTCAGGCCAAAGGATCCAATACCCCCAAAGGAAGGGAAGAAAACCGTTCCTTGTCCTCATTTGCACCGCCAAAGGAGGCAAACCAAACCCCGTCCCTCACTTTAGAAGAACCGCCACCAAAAGAAGACGATAACAATGAACCCCAGCGCTCCGAGGGGGCCGTACTGCTTGAGCAGCAGCTCCCAGTTGATCCTCACAGCGGCGCGCCTGTACTTTTTGCTGTCGTCGCGCAGGCGGGAGCTGAGCTCGCCCATGCGCTCGAGGGAGTCGCCGCGGTACAAGAGGTCCTCAATGTTCTTGGTCATGACTTTGGTCACGTCGCGCAGCTCGTCGTTGAGCTTGTCGAGGTTCTGGGAGGCGCGGGCGTCCGAGTAGGTTGATTTTGTGCGGGAGATGAAGGTGTCGAACTCCATAAAGGCGTAGGGGCGGAGGGAGGGGGAGTGGAGCTGGGAGACGGGGTAGGTTGTCGTGAACTCGCGGGCGAGGTCGGAGAGGTAGGTGAAGGCTAGCTTGCGCGGGTAGGATTTGTCTGTTATGCAGATGAAGGTGATGTCCGAGTCCATTAGGTAGCTGTTTTGGACACAAAGGTTAGCAAGAGTTCCTTCTTCTCCTTCTTCTCCTTCTTCCCCTTCTTCTTCTTCTTCTTTCGACTGGCTCCTCTCGGTGTAAAAGGGGTAGACAGGAGAGGGGTAGACGGACTTCAGGTTGTAGGCGCCGCTTTCGATGCTGGCTTGGGGTTCCGAGTTACGGGTGAGCTTGCGTAGGACTTGCTTGATTTGCGACTTGACTTCGGAGAGAGCTGCTTCTTGTTGCTCGTCGTCGACGGAAGCGCAGAGCATGAGGCCTGGGGAGCTGGGTGTTAGTGAAGGGTGGCTTTTGGTATGTGGATGGGTGCGCGCGCGCGCGTCCGTACCGTCAAGCCTTGCTATTTGAGTTGAGCGGATCATTGTGTGTATGTGTTTGCTTGCGTGTGGTATTTGGAAAAGTATTTGTCGTCGTTCGTAGGTCAAGAGGGTAGGTATAGCAAAGGAGCTGTCGACGGTGGGTTGGTGTTGTATCGACGTGTCCTCTGAGGTAGCTTCGATGCCTATTCTTAGGCTATCCGGATGCGCGGGTTGACGAGAAGTTGTACTCGAGTGGCTTGGTATCTCCGACTGGGTTGATCAAGTCACGGGCACTTTTTCGAAGTACCGTTAAGATATTCGTTGTTGTGTCCTCTTTTTCGAGCCAGGGGTGGTCGCTTTTTCGCTAGCAAATAAACCAAAAACCAAGGATCGCCGTCGACAATATGTCCGGGATGTAATAGGGACGGGAGCTCTCCACGTACTAGTATTGAAGATGACACCATGGGCGGTCATCACTGGCCAATTGGAGGGCTTACGCGGGGGCGTAGCCCCTGCGCATTTGGTGGTCGATGTGGCGCCCGTGGCTCGGTCCATCCAGCCTTGTTTAGGTACTGCGTACTGAGAGCATGTTACTTTTAGGGGGACCATCCAACTCACTCAGTACTCTGCTCTCATGGGTTCTTCTTCAACTTTAACCACCTCACTTACACACATTTGAAGGGAGGTGCGGCGGGAACATAAACTCCCTCCGCCATATCATTATCTGGCACAAACCACCTGGGCTATTCCAAGACCTCGGGGTTCCATGATAAGGACTCGATTGCTCTGTTTTTAAACTCTTTGGGCGCTGTAGTCTCATCTTTGTTATTGATGTTAGAGTGTCGTTTGTAAGTTCTCAACATGTGTTTACTACCTTATTATCTCATGTCCGGAAACCGCTTTGTGGGAAGGAACAATCAGCAAAGGAGGTCCTTCCCATGTTATCAAAACTGCGACTGTGCCTTCCAGAAACGACATGATTCTTTCACCAGGACTTTTAATAGCACAGGTCTTTGAATTCCTTTTGGCTAATGCCCAGTTCAGGAATCTTTCCATGGACATCGTAAACGTGAACCGGCAAACATCCTTCATCCACCCGGCCACTCACTCAAAATGGAAGGGTCCGCATCCGATATAGAGATGGCAGACGCCTGCGCTCCATCCTCGTCCTCATCCTCATCCTCTGGCCTCTCCCCTCCGCCCACCTACAGCTCAGACTACGAGGGACTTTCCCAAAAAGCTGAGAAAGATTCTTCCAAAGAGATTGTCAAAGAGACTGTCGGCTCTCCCAATGCGCGGGAAGACGCGGAATCAGAAGCTATCAACACACAACTTCCCGGCACAGATCTGCCCAACATGGCTCGACGTTCGGCGCGCAACTCGAGTAAGCCCAAGCCCGCGACTGCTTCCCCACTAAAAGTCACCAAGAGAAAACAGCCTACCAAAGTGGTACCCAAGAAGGGCCAAAAATGGACAACGCAGAAGCTCTTGACGGATCCCAAGTCGCCGCTTGCCAGCGCGGATCTGAGAGTAAGTGAACCGTCGCAGCTTAGAAGGGATGATTTTATGTCATCCCAGAAATTCTTGTCTCGATTCTAGTACGCTAACTTACCGCGACTCTCTCTAGGCGATACTCTGCCAGCCAGCGGCATGGGACATACTTACGAAGGAGGAGCGTGCCGAGATCGTCAGCCTCTTCCCAGCCGGCACACGTATCATTGACGCCGGCACCGACGAAGCCCGCCCGGATTTTGACGCACTTCGCAATAACAACAACTTTCGCCACGACTGTGCCACGTACGCCGACAACATCTCCCAGGGCAGGCACGACCCTGAGTGGCTCGAGCAGGCGTGGGTTGCGCGCGAGCGGCGGCGGGCGGGCGACTTTGACGACTATGTCACGCAAAAGTTTGAGGATGAGTGGTCGTGCAAGGTGCCAGAGGGCTTTAAGCCAAACAGAAGTGGCGATGCACCAGGCCCCGCTGCGCCTGCGGAAGCTGGAAAGGCCCATGTCGAGCAGATGGAGGGAAATACCGACCAGACAAAGGGAGATGTTATCGACAAGGTCCAGGTGGAAGCAGAAGCCATCAAACAAGTGACGGACACGAAGGCTGCGGATACGACGGGTGACGCTAATACGGCAGAGGATAACGATGCGAGAGAAGCACCGGGCGTCGCACTTGGGTCTCCTCTTCCTGAAGACATCTCATCAGCAAAGATTGGCACAGCTACTACCGAGATCTCCCTCGAAGAGCAGGTGCCAGAATCCTCGGAGGTGCCACTTGAAAGCGTTTTTCCTGACAATTCATCCCAAATGGCCAATCACCAAAACCCGAGCAAACAGACAGAGAAGCAGAAGGGAAAGAAGCCGGTAATTACAGAAGGAAACTAACAGAAGCTCATCCGAGGGAAGCATTATCGTGCTGGCGAGGCTCAAGAGGGTGTGAAGGTGCCGGAGCATCAATGCTGAGAGCTGCCGATGGGAGATACATACAAACGCATTTGTCTGTATTCAGCATCACGAATCATGATTCATGAAAGGGAATGGAATTTGGGCATATCGGAGATACCTATTTGTTGGGCGACACGAAATCTTCTGGATTGTCGGCTGGAGGCGGGCTTTCTTGAGTAGGGCCTGATAGCTATGGAATCTAGCAGTATGATCCAAGCCACTTCAAACCCGTCTTCGTGAAAAGGCGCATGATCACAACGGAAGATTCGATGTCGGCCTCGGTGAAACGGTCCTGGTGTTGACGCCCGATGGTGGTAGTCTCGGTCAGTGCCCCACATCACCGACAAACCCCAAATTGAGTGGGCGAAAAGCGTCCATCACAGAAATCGCACCTTGACAATCTTTACTCTCAATCATCTTACTACCTATCTCATGCGAGAAGGCTTTTCTTAGTGCAAGTCATACATATCACAGTCTAACAGGTTTACGTCTGGAAAAACATCAACGGCGAGAAGATTCGCGGTTCCAGGCTGTACCTTAGAAATTGCGCAGCAAATTCCCTCTTCCACAATATAGCAGGAAGATTCCTTCCAAGACCTGCCACGATGGCCCCCTCGGCGGAAAACCACAGTCGGTCACATAGCCTCTTACTATTCCAGAAGCTGCTCAACCTGAGGGATGGCGCGAGCCCTTTGACCTTGGTGCTGGACAGTCTCGAGCAAGGCGCCGCGCCAGTCCTTCGGGAGTTCGTCTCCAGAGCCAAGGTATGCGCTACTGATTTTCATGACTCTGTAGATAGACAATATGATTCCTATCCCCAAAAACACAATCATTAGTTTTGGTGTCATGATTCAAATATCTGGTATTAATGAAATATATAGGTTGCAAAAGCCAAAGTAATTCTGCTGTCTTTCGCGACGCTCAAACGCCCACGAGGCGTGGACGTCGTCGTCAGAGCCCGCGGCAAAACCCTCAAGGCCCTGAGAGCAGAGATTCTTTCACATTATCCCAAGATAGACCCTACGGCAGTCAAGGGTGCATCTCCGTCTCAAAGTGAGTGCTGTCGCACCCCCCATCCTGTGACCTCCTCTTCATGGCCTCACCATAACATATCCACCCTCTGACTCACACATCTTCTCGTGACCAGAAACGGTAGTCCTGCTCGACTCCCTCAACGAGCTCGCCACAGCTGCGTCACAGGTCCTGCCCA